AAAAAATGTTCAGGCCTTCCAACAAGGCAGCTTGTCTAAAAATCTTTACATGGGACATAAACTCAGGAGTTGAGTCTTTTTTCAGATTGTGAGCCCCAGTGTTTGTCCCAGTCCTTCCCTCTTTCTTCATGTTACGCTCCCTTCCATTCCTTCTTCACCCAGCCCTGGCCCCAGCTGCCTTTTCTCATAAGTGACCTTTGAAACTCAGGCTACACAGAGATTTGCTGAATCAGCAGGACCAACTGCTGTTTCTCTTGCTTAGTTTTGAGCCAGTGGGAAAACGTGCCAGGATGCCTTTGTGAGGCCCTATGGCATTCACTGTTTGCGTCTGGGAAGAGCTTGGGAATGAGGAAGGAGGGAGCTGATGTGGAACTCGGCATGGAGGCTGGTAAGGAGGAGGGAGACAACCAGTGTTTCCCAGAGACCAGGGAATGACTTGGTTCTCTTAAATGCATTATTTTTGGATGGAAGGAAGGGAAGAGCGGTGGTCTAGGTGATCAGAAAGGCAAAGGGCAGCAAATCTTTGCAAGTGGCCACTCTATGCCAGCTATCTGATATAAACAAAAAGATGCACACTCCCTCCCCAAAGTGGGCCTTCAAGCTGGCCCCATTTCTTAGACTAGAAGCTCTCTCCCTGCTGGGGATAGGGGAAGAACTAGTGGATAGGGAGATTGGTGAGCGTGGGCCCTACGATGCTTCCTCAGCAACCAGGCACAAGGTAGACAAGGTTCCTGTGTGTTGAAATTGTCCTCACCCAGCGATAGGGTTTAGCCTCAAGGGAGGGGATTAGGGTGGGAAGAGGGGGGCTGTATCATCAGAGGATGGAATGAGATGCGCATGCAAAACAGGTATCTCCATGGATTGAATTTTCTGCCTTTTGTTCCCTTTCCAGCTACCCTTGCCTCTTGCTATTCTGACATAAACCTTTGAGCTGAATGAAGAAAACCTGCTCTCTGTCTCTTAACATGATGTGTATACTCACCCTGTTTACCTTGTGCTGTTCTGATAGAAGATTGCTCTACGCAGCTGCAACATGCTTACACTTGTTTAGACGTTTCTAGATATGTATCTCATATATTTTGGGCAAGGACCATTTGCTTCTTTCCAATCTTTCCACAGCACTGAGTGCAGGGTTTTGAACAGACTGGACACTTGATACATATAATTGACCATAGACTTTTATACTTTCTTTCTTAATAGCTTTTAGGATGGGCCAGCCATGAGCTGTCACCTTCAAGCATGCAACCCTGACTCAATAGGAGCAGAGACCCCAGTTACAATCAGCATCTTAGACAACTCAGGCTAAAGAGCACATCCAGGAATCTTCTAGCCATACCCAGCCTCCAGTCAGTATGAGAACAGGGAGCTCAAAAGATACTCAAGACTTATTTCATGTTTAAAGGATGTGGGTAGAGAGGAAAGAGATTTCCCTGTGTAGCTTACGTGGAAGAAGGATAGGAGGGGGAGAAGATGGGAGAGCGAAAGCGTTTGAGGGAGAGGAAGAAAGGGAGAAGAGAAGGAAGAAAAAAGGGAGGAAAGGAGTGAAGGAGAGGAGGGATGTGAAAGGAATAAAGAAAGGATATAACAGAGAGAAGACAGGAGCTGTGGAGCCCTTCAGACTTCATAGTCACATTGAGGTGGGGAGCTTGGAGTAGGAGCTGAATTTGAATTGGAACGCAAGAATCTATCCTCCAGCAATCATCTGCCTGTGGCGTTGGAGACATGGACAAGCCCTGCCATCCAAGGCAGTAAATGCATGACTGGTGGGTGGGAAAATGTGCTCAGATGCCACCGAGGCCAGCAGCTTCAGATAAGTTCATATGCTTCCACGGCAAGAGGATTTGTCAGGTCAAGTTGGGTTTCTGATGCCAGCCAGGAAAGGGATAATAATAAATTCTGCAGATGCTGTGAGCCTTGATTGAAAAAATAAAGAGGAGGAAGCTATGTTTGCTGATTTCATTAAGAGGCAAAAGCAGTGGGGGTCAGAGCTTAGCAAGAATCAAGAAGCACGCAGAGAAAGAATTTTAACCCTTCAAATGTTTTTCTTCCTTAGTATCTCTGCACTCACCCACTCACGGATTGCTGCTTTCTTGCACTGACCTCCAATACCACCACCACCTTTGTGTCTCCCTCAGCTGAAGGAGGGAGAGAAGCCAGATTACATATTAATGCAGATAAAATGGCAATTAAATGATTCATTATTTCCCAGTCCAAAGTTCTCTAGGGCTTCTGCATCTCCTGGAATTGGGTAGGAAGAGGGGTTCTGGGATTAAGAGTCAAACTGTGTGAGGACATAGTGCACCTACTGGAGTGCCTGGCCTCTGGAAACCCTCACCCACTCTTCGACCACCTCACTGGGGCAGCGTTCTCACTGGAATGAGGCCAGAGGAGGAATGAGAGAAGATTCACAGGAAACGCATGATCAGAAGACCTGCTCTGCCATCTCTTCCTCCCACTTCAGCACTCCTAGTAGAGAACCAATTTTGCAGCAAGCCCCCAGGAGCAATACCAGGGAGGGGGCTGCTGGCTCTGCTCTTTTCCTCCTCACCTTTCCCTATCCTTGGAGATACCTCTCTGCCTGCCGGCTCCATCTACTCCTGCACCGTAGACAGGTATGGGCAGAAAACAAACATACAAAACAGGCCATGGGCAGAGAGCAGGGTAAGACCGAACATGTAATTAGCAGTGATGATTCCTTCCTGAGGTTCTGCGGGGAAACTTGCGTTGAAGTTGGGCAACTGTGGGGAAAGAAATGAGTGGTCCAGAAGATATTCAATCAGCCAATATGACCATGTTTTCACATCCAAGGAAAGAGAGCTGCAGGGAGGAGGGGAGGCAGGCACATCCATGGTCTCTATGTCTCTGGGTGTGCAGGCTCAGGGAGCAGGGGAAAAAGCTGGAGGCTCTGGAGAAAGGAAGGCACTACTGTTAAGTGCCAGGGCCAACTTTCTAAGTGAAGGATTCCAATAACTTCCACTCTCCTCCACCATGTTAATTATTTCTTATTTTTGTTCTATTCCTTTGAGAGGCAAAAGCGGGACAGGTGAGAAGGAAAGATGAGGATGTCACAATTCCTCTCTGGAATTGACATGTGAGGCTGGACAGGAACCCAGATAATTCCTAAATCCCAGGATTCCTAGCAGGACCAACTGAGTGAAAGGGTTTGGGCTCTATAGATCACTCTGAAGGCCATAGCGATGTCTTTGTCTAAGAAAAATAATCTTTCGTCAACTCTTTTTGCCACACAATCCCCTGGAGAGATGCAAAGAAAGTGGAGATGCAGTAGGAGAGAAGGGAGACACCAAAAGTCATGAGGAGAGAAATCATAATGACCAGGTAGCTGTGGCTCCCCTCAGGGAAAGAGACTGGAAAAATACTTCCCACCTACCTGGGGAAAAGACCACTTAGTATCTTGGAACAGTGTTGCCTTTTGCTGAGCCTTGGGCATTGAGGGAAAATGACTTTCTGCTTTTTATGCCAGATAAGGAAAAACCAAAAATAAAAATGTGAAACTGAGGGAAGTCCAAATGGGTTATTTAGGGAGTTGAGGTAGAAAACTGTATCTTCTTGGGGCTTGAATCAAGTGTTTTAAGTCAGCCAAGCCAGATTATGGTAGACTCCTTGGTTCTGATCCACGTACCCTGTGAGCTACCCTGCCCTAACCCAACTTCTCCAACTCTACAACAGATGGGAAAAGAAAGTGAGTTTTGAAGGAATACAGCAAATCTTCACAAGGATCTCTCAGACTTAAAGCACATGTGCAACTGGATGAAGATGAGATTCCTAGCTCTACTTTCTTCCTCATTATCCCCTTTAGCATCACCATTTTCAAGGTCAGGTACTGACCAGGTACAATTTCCCTTGAACTATCCTTATTTAGTTCTCCTTCACTTGTCTAATCAGAGAAAAGAAGCTGACATGGCCACAGCCTTTCCAGTGCAGAGAAGAGAACATCCCAGATGCTTTCATGTCTTCTTCCCATATTTCTAGTTTATGGACCTCGTGAGTGAAGAAAGAGCTTGAGGTTCTAGGTGCTGAGAGATTAACATTTCTCTCAGGACCCAAGACAAGATTTCAGTGATCACCAAATAACCGGAGGAAATGAGGTTTGCAGTTGCTGGCCTTAACAGGGAGATTTAAACAGGCATGGCATCTGAATATCAACTCCATCTGTCTACTGACCCCCATGTCATTGTTCCCTTTCAGCAATGGCCAAATACCCTGTAGGAAGAACCCTCCTTGAGTTGGAGGAAAAATCTATACCCAGACTGAGTTCTCAAGCCATGCCTGAGTCCTCCATTGGTTTGATAGGATGGTCCCTTGCGCCTCTTCGGCTCTACGGGAATTCAGAGCAGAGAAGCCTTCCCCAAATGAGCCATTCCTGGCTATGACTCCCACTTCACCAGGTGAAAAGCCGCATCTTCTCTTCATCTTCCTCCAGCTCCCGTGCTTTCCCACGTCACTCCTGCTTTTCATGTTTGCCCCCAGTCTCCTGATTTTCCCTCTACCCCAGTCCTACTCTTCCTGGGCCTCAGCCCTTTTAAAGCTCTTCACATGCCTCTTTCCGAGCCTTCATCTCAGTCTCCATTCAAATACTTTTACTACCCAAACTTCCTTCCAAATTTTTTCTCACTTAAAAAGATACCTTCAATGGTTCTCTTCTACAGTTGAATCTTCACTCGAACTTCATCCCAGTCTAACCCCCTTTAAATGCTCAGTTACTAATATCCCCAATCGCTTAAAACCCACTTATTTCCTCCTTTGGCCTTACTGATGGCCTGGTTACTCCTTTTTGCTCCAATATTCCTCAAAACCTTCTCAGGCACGGATATCATTTCCTCATTTTCCCCAGATCTCCTTGACACACTTCTGGCCCCTTCAGGCCACGTCACCCTGGTCTTTTAGACTCCCACGCACCCGATGTCCCTGTCTCTCCCTCACACCCACTTGCTTCCCTTGCTCCCACCACAACAGTGCCCATCTCCCTCTTCCCCGCTCACTCAGGTCTCCTGCTCAGGACGCCCTTGCCGATGGTGGAGGGGGATTTGTGCTGAAGGAGAGCTCCGGCAGCAGCGCAGCAACTCGGGGGACGCTCCTTCTCCTTGTCAGTCACGGCTCCCTGTGTCCCCAGATGCTTGTGGGGCGACTGGGGTGTGTGAGCCCTGCTGCCAGGGCCCCGCGGGGGCTGCTCCAGGAGCTGTCCGTGATGCTGAAGCGGCGGCTGCTCGGGTGCGGGCTGTGGCGCGGCGGCTGAGCGCTGTCCCTGGTCCTGGAGAGGTTCTTGGGCCCTGGCAGCGGCAGCAGGAGCGGTGGCCGGAGCGGCGGGCGGCTGGGCAGATGACGGGGGGACGAGCCCGGGCGGAGGCTGGGCTTGCAGCAGCTGCTGGTGCTCCCACAGGCTGCGGTTCTCAGCGCTCAGCTCGTCCAGCCGCCGCTCCAGCTCGTCGATGCGCTCTCGCTGGGTGTGGATGAGGCTCTGCTGGTTCTGCACGATGGCCGTGAGCTCCTTGAGGTAGAGCACGGCGCGCACCGGGTTCTCCAGCAGGCTCTCCATGCCGCCCGCCGCCGCCTGCGCTCTGCCTGCGCCTGGGCTGGCGGCGGGGAACGCGAGGGCGCGGGAGCCCAGCAGCCCAGTGGTCGGCTCGCCTCCCTCGCCCACGGGCCCAGCCTCCCTGCCGCCGCCGGCGCCGCGTCACCGCCACTCCGACCTTCACACACGCATCGCGGGGCGGGGCCGCGGCTCAGGGCCCCACCCCCACCCCACCCCCTACCCCCAGGCCTCCCCAACCCCTCATCTCCCTGCCTCTTGGCGTCATAGGAGGCTCTGCTGCCTGCAGGGCCGAGATGAGAGGGAGGAGGCCAGAGACAGGGAACCTGCGGCCCGGGCGTGGGAGGGAAGCAGGAAACGCAGGCGACCCGAGAAGGACGGTGAATCTGACTGGCCAGAACGGGAAGTAGGCGAAGGGGAAGAAGCGATCCTGGGAAGGTGCGATGGGACCTGCAGGAGAAGAGAAGCAGAAAAGAAAGGAAGAGAAGGGGAGAGGCTGGCGGAGAGGAAGCAGAAAAAGGGAAGGTGGGAAAAATAAAGAGAAATGAGCTGGAGGAGAGGAAGGCGTGGGTCCCTGAAGGGGCGCGAATTCTTTAGGTCCAGTCCTTCCAGGGGCTGGGGTCCATCTAGATACCTGCGGAGGAGAGGCCACACTAGCCGCTTTTGCTCGCAGCAATCTATTCTGCGGGGGAATTCCCTGGAACACAAGGATTCTGGGGCTCTAAGGGACCCTAAAGAGCATCTGATCCTGCTCCTTCCTTCAGCAATGAAGAAACTTGGGGTGGGAAGGCTGTTCATGCTGGGTTTTCCCTGGGAGTGAGATCTCAAGACAGTTTTGGCAGTTCCTGATAGAAACACAAACTAAATAAACCAGGTCCTCTGTGGCAAGGGCTAACACTTCCAGAAACTTCTGAACAGGTCATTCTATTTGACAAATAGTTAGAAAATGCACGCTGTTACCAAACATTGGGCTAGATGGTGGTAAGAGAAAGATGATTAGAATAGAATCTTAGGCTTCTTGATGCTTATAAATAAGTGGGTGAAATTGGTCGTAATTAACTTTGACGTATGGTGGTGGTGGGGAGTGATCAGGTAGAGGTTTGCCCAGAGTGCTATAGGAGCCAGCAGCTTAGAGATCCAGGAAGACTTCTTGGAGGAAGTGACTCTTGGTGTGGCAAGGGTTTCTCAGAAAGGGAGGGCAACATGAACAAAAGCTCAGAGACATTAATCAGCATTGATGGAATCATTCATTCATGTTTACAACAATCATATGTAAAACACCCACTAGGTGCAAAGTAATGTACCAGAATCTATGCAGGCCACATTTAGCATAGATAATAAGTTATCATTTCTATAATCAAGTTGATTCCAATCTCGTAAAGTAGATACGACATGCACATGAGCAGGCAAAACACAAGTCGAGATTTCTGTAAGAGCTCTTCAAGCCAAGTGCCATAGAGTTCAGGGGCGGGAGAGGTTTCATTTGACTGTTTTGATCTGATGAGTTCTGATAGGGGTGTTATTCAAGTTGGGCTGTGAAGAATGGGAGATATTTCAACAGGTAGGCAGAACAGGGGGCCAGAGATGAGAAAGATATATGAGGCAGCAGGGAAAAAGCTAAGTAATGGAAAAATAGCACTTGGTTTAAATTAATTTGACAGGAAATTAATTTTCTTTTCTTTTTTTCTTTTTCTTTGTCTCTCTCTCTTCCTTCCTTCCTTCCTTCCTTCCTTTCTTTCTTTCTTTCTTTCTTTCTTTCTTTCTTTCTTTCTTTCTTTCTTTCTTTCTTTCTTCTTTCTTTCTTTCTTTCTTTCTTTCTTTCTTTCTTTCTTTCCTTTCTTTCTTTCTTTCTTCTTTCTTTCTTTCTTTCTT